CTCGACAACAAGGCATTGCAAAGACTTTGTGTCTATGTTTTAAATGCATACCAAAAAGGACTTTAGCAGTAGTTGCTGCAGAAAGTGGTTTGTTCAGGTCTTGGAAGGTGAATATTCCCTCCTGCTAAAGTTTTCTCTTTCTTCAGCCTATTGTTGTTTTATTATTTTACAGTAAAAATTTATCAGGCATCTTCAAAGTGATATTTGTTCAAGTTTGTGACACTGATCTCTGGTTGTTGCAACCTTTTACATTTAGACATTAGAATCATCACACCTAGAATATAGACAGTAAAAAGATTTACTACGGTATGTTGATAAGCTAGAAAATGTAAATCAGTAGATTTGACAAAAAAATTAAACTATGTTTAATATTTAGCTTCAAATATCCTCATCACAAGTGTGTCGCTAAAGCTCTATGAAATGCTCTGTTTAAAAATGAGTTTGGGATTGGCCAAAAGAGGCGATCATCCACAATACCAATAATCTCTCATTCTACCAATCCTTCTCTTAACCTCGTTGACCAATCAGAGGCTCGCCAACCAGATTACAATCAAAACGTAACGAGCAGGAACATGAAGGCTGCAGATGTCCAGACAGCCTCTCCCTGTTTCTTTCACTTTCTATGGAACCAAAGGAGAACAGTTCAGAACATGTTGGATGCCACAACAATCCATCATGCTGGTTTTGTTGTTTTCTCATTCCCACATTAGGTCTCATTAACCAACCCTCCACTTTGTGCTGGTCCTCTCCAGTCAGTACTTTTTAAACTCTCCATCCATCCCTTAGCTCTCACTGTTCCTCTCCCTACTCACCTTCATATTTTATTTATTTATATTTTTGCTGCTCCTTCCTTTCCTTCCCTTTCAGTCCTTTTCACCCAGATGTTTGAAGGTCAGGATTGGCTGTTCGCTGGTCCAACCCTCCAGCATCATGTGGGCATCAGACAGATGTTTGGCTTCTTCTTCTGTTAATCTGAGGAGAGCCACCAACCACCAACCAGCAGGAAGAAGATGATTCATGTGCACAACTAAAGAAACTTTGTGCAAGTTCTATTTCTGCTTCTGACAGGCATTTCTGGAGCTCGTCGCTTTGTTCCTCTCTGGCTCCCACTCCTCCTCGTCTGTATTGAGTGAGTTTAGGAGAATGTTTAGCTGGGTATGATGGGCGGGCAGAGCTCCAGGCAGATGTAAATCTGGTGCGATTTGCTGACAAAGGGGCAGACACAGTGGAGGATGGAGGATGCTGTTGATGCCAAGAGTGATCTGGGATCTGTGAGGACTCTCAGTCTATGAGAAGCCGAGGTCACCGCCTTTCTACCTGCAAACCATGTCAAAGGTGCTCAAGACCAAAAATGTCTCGTGGGTGAGTACCGTCTTCATAGGCTGGCTGTTGGGAGAAGGGGTGACATGGGGATGTAGGTTGATGGAGCTGTTGTTGGATTACAAAAGTTGCTTTTATTTATTTATTTCTGTCAGAATGATCATTTATGGCTGTGTGTATAAATATATATATATATATATATATATATATATATATATATATATATATAGGCGCAGGACTTTCAGCACTGACTGAAGCAGTTTGGCCATGTGCTTTTTCAAAAGAGTGTTTTGGGCCAAAAATGGGATGTTTTCTATTTGAAATGATGCTAACTGAAATTTGAAAAATAAATAAAGATCTGGGATGAGCCATTTGTGCATCTGGCTTTTTGCATCCAACAGATCAGAGATCAAAGCTAATGTAAAGCTCTCTCTGCTCTTCTCCAGCCTTTTTACTTCTACACAGCTTAGATCACAGCTTCATTAGGAAATGAAAAGAAAAGAAATCCGCTTCCATGCAGGCCAAAGTTTCAACAAACCTCCTGTGTGATCTGTTAACACTCAGAGTATGTATACGTGCTCAGCCATCGTGTTTGTGTTGTAGAAGTTTCTGTGCCTGCTAAGACTGGTAAGCTGTGTGGGCCGCTGTGAATCAGGTTCACTTTAAAAGTTAATCAGTTGTAAATATACAGTACATGAAATTATGACTTTCTGAGAATTTCATGAAAACTTGCCCATTGGTTCACGAGATATTTTACTAACAGACTAACATGCAGAACATGCAGACACAATTGCAATATTGCTTACTCCTCATGGCAGCATGTGATAGTAAGATCTACACTAATAATGATCAGAGTAAAATCAGTGAACATAAAGTCTGCATAAAGGTAATAATTAAACATACCAAACCCCCCCCACCCCCCACCCCCTACACACACACACACACACATACACACACACACACTATCACTGATGGAATTAGGTGTTAGCCTGTGTGTTTTCTGGATGTGGGGATAAACTGGAAGGTGGAATAGGAGGTATGGATCTGGAGCTCCGCCTAAAGTGGTTCATGCAATCCATTTTTGGGCCACTACTGGCCTCGGCTGACAGAGCCCCCCCCCCCACACACACACACAATGGTTGTAAGAAGCTTAGGAACAGATGTTTCTTTTTCAGAGTGTGGGAGCACATGTGCACATGATCACGTGTGACGCGAGTGGATAAACTGATGAGAGGTGTGCGCCTGTGCAGATGTGGGATCTGGCCGTGCAGAAGCACAGATTAACATGAACACAACCAGGGGCTGGGACTGGTGTGTGACGGGGGAGGGGGTGGTAACACTGCAAGGAGGGGTCTTCAAAAAGCATGAAATGACAAGGACTTAAAAAGTAAATTGTGTAAAGGGTCTTGATGAAATGCTCCCGCACAGCTAGAGTCTACACCTTGGTAATTTCAATCTTTTGAATTGAGCAGCAGCCGTCATGAAAAGGTTTCGTCACGTTTACGACTCGTCGTCATCACTGGACAGACATTTTGAGCAAAGTAGATGATGAACTTGGTGAGAACTAGTGAGCAAAATTATTTCAATGGTGTTGGTAAGGGACGTGTTAAAAGATGTAAAAGTTGTTTGTGTAATGTTTAACCAAAGAAATGGTGGAAGATGGAATTTACTTTTTACCATTTTTGAAATTAATTATTAAGTTAAATCGATGTGTATTTTTAAAAGACAAACATCTGTTGCCTTAAAAAAGATGGTTGACAGGAATCTGAATCAGATGTTCATTTTATTCACTGAATATGTCATTTTATTTATTAACCTTTATTTTAGATCCCTTTTTGTCAGGGAGGTCTGAAGGCAGCATAACATGCATGTTTTTGAACTGTAGAAGAGAACTGGAGCACTTGGAGAAACCCACACAAACATGAGGAGAACATGCAAGCTCCACACAGACCCCAGGTCCAAACTGGGGATTGAACCCCTTCTTGCTGTGCGGCAGCAGCCACTAATCCACAGTGCTGCTTCATGTTAATGTTCTCCAGCTACAGTTTTAATAAAAACAAAACATACTGCTAAATTTGCCACCACTGTTTGGGAGCTGCGAGGTGAGCCAACGACAAACACAACTGAACACATCTGGAATCAGATTAATCTGCATGGAAACATGAAGTCCTTCTGTTTGACAGGGTTGAAAGCTGAGCATTTGGACTGAAAGCGTGTGTCACTACAGGTGCAAGTGATGTGTGAGGAGGGAAATGTCTGTCAAGCTCTTTAGGAGACACCTTCATAGAATAAATTCAGGGGGAAATGGTCCACATGATTTTTCAGAGATACTGTATATAAACGCTGTTGATCCTTTCAGAATAGATGCTCCTCGAAGATTTTCTCGGATGTGCTTTAGTGGGTGTCAAGTGTGTTTTGGTGTCACTTGTTAGTGCTGGAAGAGATCTAAAGAGTCTTTGACCAGATTATGAAAGGATTATTACCCGATTTTTCAGGCACAGTCTCAGGGTCCTAAAGTGTAAAGCAGCCTCTGGTTGTTCGATGAGAATGTTGACACCTTTTAATGAAACCAATAGTAAAAAAACACAGACAGAAAACATTCAAATAAATAAAAATGTTTGAAGTAGTGCTAAATAATACCATTAGAATAAATAAAATTGACAAAGCAGAAACCCCAAGTCAGTTCAAAGAAATAGAGAATCAAATCTTCTTTAAATTAAAAAGACACTACATTAAAAAGACTTTCAAACAGAACCTGATAAAACAATATATCTGAGAAGAAAAAAAAAAACTAACTCAAATTCAAATCGTCCTAAAAAAGGTTCATAAATAAACATAATAAAACAATATCACATTACAAAAACAAACATAAGAAACAAAACTGCTATAAAGTTATTTTAAATGTATATTTGAGCACTTTGCAATGAAAACCTTCAAAAGCACGACAAATAACTGTCAAAATATATGGAAAGCATCTGTTGAATTTAGGAGTAGAGTATATTGCATAATATAAGGAAAAGCGACAGGAAGTCATTGAATGCAACATTTCAGAAAAAGATAAAAACATGTTCATTTATTTAATGCAAAATTCACTGAGCATCGTTTTGGAAAACAGTACAGGGTCAGGATAAAGGGATGCATCCTATCTCTGTGTGCACGTGTGTGTGTGTGTGTGTCAGATTCTGAGTAAATCTCATACACTGTCAGGATGATGATTTCGTTGTCCCGAACTGGCTTAATCTGCCTCCTGCATTTTTTTTATTTTTTTAATTCCCACTCTGTCTCTCCTGGAGCGAGGCCATGCTGGTGCAGCCAAACCATATGGAAGGCTTTTGGATGCACAAACACATTCATCAGGATGAAATCTGGTAAGTGACACGTTCCGCCACGTTTTGCGCCACTCATGGAACGCTGGAGCGCGCACGCGGGTTGGACGACTTTGGCGCAGACGGTGTGCGGTGCAACAGATGCCAAGCAGAGATATAAGCCTTTAATACCCAAAGGACTCAGGAAAGGGTAACTACACTCAACTCAGAGTGCAAGCCTTGACTGAAACTCCTCTCCAGTGCTTGGGATATGTCACTTTTACGCAAATAACCGCAGCTTAAGGTCGGAGTTTTTGTTGCATGGAACAGTTTCTCTCTGATGGATCCACCTGTCTTCGTAAACCCAGTCTCATGACATGCTTGTTCATGTCTCACTCACTGGGACCAGGTGATTTCAGCTAGGACAACGCAGGTGGACACCTTCAGCCGCGATGCCGCCCAAGAAGAAGGTAAAATGTGCGCTTTTTTTAAATTCTTTTTTTTTTTAGTTTCTCACGTGTACTTGTGTGAGTGTTTTGTGTGCGTGTGCAGAACAGGAAGCGCAGGAAAATACACCATCTGTTGTACTGAGTGTTAATCCGTCTGTGAGGCCTTTCCACCTCAGTGCACTCAGTGCGCAGGGCACAGAAATACATCTCCACACGCTTGTATCATGAGTCCAGCTGAATACCAGGCTTTACGCAGGGTTGCATAACCAATAGCCTGCAAAGATCAGCAGGATAAAAGTCTCTGTTTTTTATTTTTCTACCACATAACTTGTGGGCTCGTAGTCTGTTATTCTACTAGACTTCAAGTTCAGCAAATTTAGGTTGCACTAAAGCGCTGTGCAGTCAGTAGGTGTACCATTAGATGAAATAAACCAACATTTTAAAGATTACAATTTCTCAAATGTTGCCTTCACCACAGTATCAATGTGTGCAATGCTAGTGTTAGATGACAGTTTGGACTGAAGTAAATCATAAGCTTTTATATTTAAATTGTCATGCAATCATTTATTTTGGGCAGCTGTGGCTGACTGGTTAAACATGCAGCCCTCCAATTGGAGAGCTGGGGGTTTGATTCCACCAGCAGTCGCATGCTGAAGTGTCCCTGGGCAAGACACTGAACCCCTCATTGTCTCTGATGTGTGTCCCATCAGTGTATGAATGTGATAAAGCACTGGTTATTTTTTGTATAGGTATAGTAGAGTTCTGTATGAATGGGTAAATGAGGGCACAGATTGTGTTGTAAAGTGCTTTGAGTATCTTGATAAGATGAAAAGGTACAGTCAATTTACCATTTATTTGCTAAACTCTCGCTGTTCACCTGATTTAGATGACAGTGACAAGCATCAACAGGGTCTTGTTAGCATTGTAAGAAAGGAGAAGGGGGGAATGTGGCACTTCCACAACTGCCATCATTAACAAGGTCACATGCTTTGGGGAAGCTAGTTTATATATGTGTTTCCAGAATCTACAAAGATTTTCGGTACTAAAAGGAAAAAAAAGAAAATCTTAATCTACACAAACAGGAAACTATTTAGGCGCTAAAACTTCAGCTCATGAATCAAAATGAAAAAGATCAGTCAAATGTTGCTCCTTATAATTGTTATATTTAGGGTATTGATACCTACATTGGCCCCCACAAAGTGCCAGAATCCTTAACTGAGTTGCCTAAATACAAGCTAAAAATTTAATACATCAGAGCTACTTCCATACCTTTGGGGTCAAGCTAGTCTGCCTTTTTCAAACTGGCATTATTTGATAAACCATGACAACAGAGAGGTGTGCGTAAACACGTGCACCTGCAAGCAGTTTGATTGGCACATCCATCTGACCTGAGCAAAGTGCAGTAAGGTTGCAGGACAGTCAGAAGTACAAAGTAGCATGAGCTAAGCTCACCGCAAGCATCAAGATGTTTCTTTCAAAGGCAACAATAAAATAGATTCAGAAACTTGACAGTTTCAAAGTAAATGGACTAAAATGTAAATGTGTTCACTTTGCCAACAGCAACCAGTATTTGGTATGGTATGGTATAAAGTTTATTCATTTAAAAAAAGTACAAAACAATTCAGAGTCAGAGAGTCAGAGTTTCTTTATTGTCATTCGCACCTCATGTGGTACATGTGGTGGAGCGAAATTATGTACACAGGGTCCCAGTTACATCCAACAATAAAATGTATAAGAAAAACAGTAATAACATCTAAGATATGAACTAAAAAAACATCAACTAAATATACACTAAGCACTCATAACATAAAACATTGAACATCAGCACAAACATGAACATGAGTCTGTGAGCAGATGTGCACGCATGAACACATCAACATTAAAACGGATCAGCAGCAACATGAAACAGATCAGCAGCAACATGATATGGTTTTTCACAGTGATTATTCTAGTTAGAGATTCATGAGTCTAACAGCCTCAGGGTAGAAGCTGTTCCTCAGTCTAGTGGTTCTACACTTAATGCTCCTTAACCTCCTTCCTGAGGGGAGTAGGGCAAAAAGTGTGTGTGCTGGGTGGGTGGGGTCCTTCATGATGCAGGTGGCCCTCTTCCTGCATCTGGAGGTGTAGATGTCTGTGATGGTGGGGAGACTGATTCCAACAGATTTCTGTGCAGCCTTCACCACTCTCTGCAAAGCTTTCCTTTCTGCAGCTGTGCAGCCTCCATGCCACACATTGATGCTCGAGCACAGGATGCTCTCCACTGCACACCTGTAGAAGGAGGTGAGGACTGAGCTTCCCAGACCAGCTCGCCTCAGCCGTCTGAGGAAGTAGAGTCTCTGATGAGCTTTCTTGATCAGGCTGGTGGTGTTGTTGCTCCAGCTGAGGCTGTCATTCATGTGTACACCCAAGTACTTGTAGCTGGAGACCACTTCCACCACAGATCCTCTTATGTTCAGGGGGGTGTAGGTGTTTTTGTTCCTTCTGAAGTCCACAATCATCTCCTTTGTCTTCTTCACATTGATGTGAAGGTTATTCTCTCTGCACCAGCTCTCCAGGTGTTCCACCTCTTGCCTGTAGCTGGACTCATCAATGTTTGTGATGCATCCCACCACCGCTGTATCATCTGCAAACTTTACAATGTGACAGCCTGGATGGGTAGCTGCACAATCATATGTGAGCAGAGTAAACAGGAGGGGGCTCAACACACATCCCTGAGGAGAGCCAGTGCTGAGGGTTATGGTGGAGGAGGAGAGGTTGTGGATCCTCACTAACTGTGGTCTGTTTGTTAAAAAGTCTAGTACCCAGTTGCAGATGGAGGGGCTTAGTCCTAGTGTGGATAGTTTGTCCATCAGGGTTTGGGGGATCATGGTGTTGAAGGCGGATGTGAAGTCCACAAAGAGCATACGGACGTAAGAGTTTTTCTGCTCCAGGTGGTTGAGCGCAGTGTGGACCACAGAGGAGATTGCATCCTCTGTTGATCGGTTCTCACGGTATGCGTACTGATGAGGGTCCTCGTTGATGTTGATGGTTGTTTTGATGTGAGTCATGACCAGTTTTTCGAAGCATTTAGCGACTATCGGGGTGAGGGCCACTGGCCGATAGTCATTCAGACCAGTCACTGTAGAGCTTTTTGGGACTGGGATGATGGTGGCAGTCTTCAGGCAGGTGGGAACTGTCTCCAGGGTAAGTGAGGTGTTAAAGATGTCTGCCAGCACCTCACAGAGCTGATCAGCACATTCCTTCAACACTTTTCCGGGGATGTTGTCTGGGCCAGTTGCTTTGTGCGGATTAATCCTCCTGAAGGTACTCCTTACTTCTGCTGAGGTCACGCTGAGATGCTCTTCATCCGGTGGCGAGGTGAGTCTGGTGCTGGGTGGTCTGTTCGGGTCTTCAAAGCGTGCATAGAACTTGTTGAGGGCATCAGGCAGAGATGGGTCTTTGGGACATTGTTCGCTCCTTCCTTTATAATCTGTTATGCACTTAATGCCCTTGCACTTAATGCACTTAATACCCAATTCCATAACAATATAAAAAAGATACAAAAGATTTAAAATGAAAGGCAGCAGAAAGAAGAAAAAATCTTATTATATCTGCCCCTTTTTTCAAACAATTATTTAAATCATAATAATTTTCAAGTAACAGAACAAAATGAATAACTTTCTAATTTTTCTATTTAATGACATTATGTTGAGAAATAATGGAGTTTTAGAAGTTTTGGTCAAACCTTGAATCTGTATACATGCAATCAAAAATAGTACACCTATAGTGCATATTGTAAGTAACCCTTAGCTACTACCACACCAAATGTGATCTCATTTTCTGTCTAATTAACTGAAATATTGACACTTCTGTGGTATCTACACCTTAATTAGGATGGCTCCATTTGTCCAGTGGTTCATGAAATAGTGAGTGGTACAGTGGTGCAGCTAGCTGGTAGAGCTGCCGCTTCTCAGCGAGCAGGTCAGCAGTTTAAATCCTGGCCAGGGGGCTTTCTGGGTGGAGTTTGCATGTTCTCCCTGTGCATGTGTGGGTTTTCTTCAGGTACTCCGGTTTCCTCCCACAGACCAAAAACATGCATGTTAGACTGATTGTTAACTCTAATTGTTTTGTTGATGACCTTGGAGGAGCCTCGTAGGCCTGGACCAGTGGAATGCCCACTAGTCTGACCATTTTGGATCTTGAAAGTACCAGCAGGACTCAAGGCTGAGAAGAAAAAAAAAAATCTGCCCGAAAAAATCAACAATTGTGGCTTTTCTGAATCTGACTCCCCCGGTTGGTCTCGAAAACATGCTGTCTTATCAAATTTCTGTCTTATCAAAGGAAAGCTTCGTCTATCTCAATCCCCCCC